AACCGGCTGCCGTGCAACGTGTCGCGGGTTCGATTCCCGCACGGAACAACACTTTGTGTGATCCACAAATTGTTGTTTCGGGTCTGGGTGTCATTGTGTATGTGAACTTGTATGTTTGTAAACGCACCCACGACACAGGAGAAAATCCTAGTGTGGGGCAACGTTTATAAAAAAAAAATAAAAAAAAAAGAAAGAAAGAAAAAAAAGAAAAGAAAACATCGTGAGGAAACCTGGACTTATAATTTCTAATTATAAGTTTGAAATCGCCAATCCGCATTGAGCAAGCGTGGTGATTAATGCTCAAACCTTCTCCGTATGAGAAGACTGCGAAGAGGCTTTGTTCAGCAGTTCGGTATTTTAAGTTCTCTTCTTACAGGAACACTGGAGTTCTAAGACCAAATGGTTTTTATTTAAAGTTCACCAATTAATACATATCATTTTGAATGTGACTCACGAGTGCACGAGATTGTGGATGGAATACAACTGTCAGAGGGGGTGTGTGCATTTGAGGCGAGGAGTGAAGTGTTAGCACTATAGCGGGGTTTTTTTTTAAAGGGGAGAATGACTGCTCCCGGTTCGGGATTAAAGGTTAAGGGGGACATTCCTTGGATAGAACACCACCAATTTTTAAAGACATTATTGATAACTTGCTGCCTCGTTGGCCGAGTGTTCGCAAGTGCGACTGCCGGGCAAGGGGTCTCGGGTTCGATTCCCGGGTCGGGGAAAGTATTACGGGGTTTTTAAAAAATTCTCAGTAGTAGCACGGAGTCTGGAAATGTGCCCGGTATATGGCAATAGGCTCACCCCCTATTACATGGGACTCATAACATAAATAGTGAAACGTGGGTGTTACATTGTACTGTGGTATAATGTGCACCTCTGCCTACCCCTTCGGGGATAAAAGGCGCGATGTTATGTATGTTATGTATTGATAACTTTAACCCTCTCTTTGTAGAGGTGTAATTGTAGTCTAGCAGTGGTTTGCCTTGCGCTGTTCAAACTGTTCATGTTAATGATATTAATATATTTTTTCATAACTTTCAGAGACCGCCAAGTGAACCTTGGTATTTTCCTGCTCCATATTCATAAATACCTGAAAAAACAACTATTGGAGTATAGAATTTTCGTCATAGAACAATTTGGTAAGATTCAGGGATATGTCACAGATTTGTACCTATGTAAATAATAGTCAAGTGTTTTTTGTAACACTTGACTAACTTTTGTCAAAACCAAGTTACGAATAAATTAACTCGTCGAGTACCGTCATCGTACACACAATTATAGAACAATAGGTTGCGGTCACCGGTGACCGCTTGGTGTTTGACAGTTTAAACGGATGTCAAGTTTCCATAACATAACATAACATCACGCCTTTTATCCCCGAAGGGGTAGGCAGAGGTGCACATTACGGCACTAAATGCCACTGTACAATGTAACACCCACTTTTCACTATTTATGTTATGAGTCCCATCTAATAGGGGGTGAGCCTATTGCCATATACCGGGCACATTTCCAGACTCCGTGCTACTACTGAGATGTTTAAAAACCCAGTTATACTTTTCCCGACCCGGGAATCGAACCAAGTCAGTTCCCTTTTGATTATATTTTGATTTTAAAGGGACGGAGAAGTTTAACAAAGGCACTTTATACAACATCGCGTACCTAGAGACTCAGCTGTTTGGTACCTGGGACTGCCTGATCTTCCACGACGTGGATCTGATCCCTGAGGACGAGAGGATCCCCTACACCTGCTCTAACCATCCAATACATTTGGCTGCTTCTGTGGAATCATTTAATTACAGGTATAAAATAAGAATTAGGTTAGCTAGCTTTCAAACTTTACCTTTATTCAAATTGAAATTGATTCAAATTGCAATTTGCTAAACACCTATTTAGAAGGCGATTCTAACCTATTTGAGTAAGTGTTTTAAAGACTTGAAACATCGAGATGAGACTACATTTTTTACCTACATGTGTGCAATTAGTTATTATGAAATGACATTTATTTCTGTAAATAGGTTACAAAGTAACACTTTCACACGTCAATCTTTAAATTACTAGATGAAGGCGAAACTAGATGATTTCCTAACTGACTACTTTGAGAAGACACGCCGAAAAAAACTCAGAGGTCATTGTCTCTTTTAAAGTACAGACAGATTATAACTATAATGTGCGAGAATATAGATTAACAACTATCTTCTGCCAGCAGTTTCACCCGCGGTCCTGTTACCTGTATGTTATCCCAGATCATAATATACCCCTGTTCTCAAATTTCATCACGATCCCTTCATCCGTTTTGACGTGAAGGAGTAACGAACAAACAAACAAACTCTTAGTAGGTCAAAGTCAAAGTCAAAATCATTTATTTCAAATAGAACAAGAAGGCACTTTTAAACGTCAAAACAAAATATTTAAATATTAAAGAAAACAAAAATAGGATAGTAGGACTACATTGTTGTGCAATAGAGATATAGATACAAAGTTTCAGCATCCTGCATCACACTAAGGGTCATTTTTTCAATGCTCTATGCAATGATAAATGTTAACTCTGGAATAATTTTGAGTATTTGACCAATTCTTTCATACCGAATTAAGTGTGGGAGACCCATGCTTCGGCACGAATGGGCCGGCTCCACACATAACCGACGTGAAGCAACGCTTGCGTTGTGTTTCGTCGTGTGAGTGAGGTTACCGGAGGCCCAATTACCCTCCCCTTTCCCAATCCTCAAATTCCTAATCCCCAAAAGGCCGGTAACGCACTTGTAACGCCTCTGGTGTTCCAGGTGTCCATGGGCGACGCCGATTGCTTACCATCAGGTGATCCGTATCAGGTGATCGTTTACCGACTTCCATAAAAAAACCGAAAACTGTCAAATGTCAATGTTATTCTACAGTTAAGTATTAACTAATGATTGATAAATCGGTCCTAAGTTTATAAAAATGTCTTGTTACAGTCTTCTGTACCCGACCATCTTTGGTGGTGTCACTGCCCTCACTCCAGAACAATATAGAACAGTTAATGGCTATTCTAATTTTTATTGGGATTGGGGCGGAGAAGATGACGATTTCTATAACAGGTAGTGTATGAAAATTAAAAATGTAATTAGTCCGTCAGTTAGATAATGAATAAATATTAGACACATATTTTTTTATTTTGTCGTATAAGAAAACAATACTTAGATAAAATGGACTTATGTTATGTGCTATCCTATAGAATGTAGTAAACCGTGACGTATATATGTTAGAATCGTTGCAGTTGGCGTTCCATAGTCTCTGCCTACCCCTATGGGAGACAGGGTATTTTTTTTTTTTTTAAGGGGGGAAAATCATCGAATGACTGCCCCCGCCTGGGTGAGGCGGGAGGGAGTGTCAGACTCTTACTGACTAAAAACCACCCCGTTCCTTCTCCTGCACGTCGAGCCGGAGCCCCGGTTACCCGTTAGGTTCTCCGCGACTCCGAATCGGCATCGGCCCTATTGGGCCCCATCTGTGGTGGTCTGATGGCTCTTTGAGGCGCGCGCGGAACGCGACGCGCCGTACGCTCGGGTCTGTTTCTGGTCGGACGGGGAGCCACCCATGCTCGCCGTCCGCAGGCCCGCGCTTACGGTGGCCGGAGATCGTCCCGCGATCCCCGACGCCCGGTGTGTCCTTCGCGATGGCTGGGTTGCGAGGAGGCAGCGCTTCGCTGCCTCACGCGTCCCGCCTCCTCCTTAGCTAGCATGACTGCTTCGCAAAAGGAGGAGACGGCATCCCAGTCCCCCTCGCTCCGCATCATGGCCCGCACTAGGCCCGGACGCGAGAGGTCGCCATCGCCGATCACTTCCCTGAGGACACGGCGGTGCTCAGCCCACGAAGGGCATTCTCCCACCGTGTGTTCCACCGTGTCCTCAGGGCGGTCCTCGCAGTGATGACACCGGAGACAGGGTATAAAAATGCACTATGTTCATTTCAGAATAGAGGGTCAAAACATGACCATCATTCGATACAACTTGACGTACGGCCGCTATGCTACGCTACCTCACAAACGCAATGCAGAGGGTTCAGAAAGGTAATTCATTGTTCTTGGAATTTACGATTTTGAAGGTCGATGGACTCCCGAAGCGCTGATGTCCGAAGCGGAGGCAAGATTTTTTCAGCTCCAGCATTTCCACAAAAGCTATGAGATAGCGACATCTTCATCTACACTTTGCAGCAAAGGAACGAAGCCACTACTTAGCGGTTGTTTTTATTTTATCAAACCCCTCTATAACTTTGAAATACATCATTGTTTTTACAAAAAAATGCTCTAATGTTTAAGGTAACCTTACCTTATTAAAATACTTGTAACAAAAAATACTTATCATGAAATGGAAATGAAAAAAATGCCAGTGGCTTCGTGTTTTTGCTCCCAAGTGTATAAGTGGATATATTTGTGTCTAACTATTTAATTATTTAGGTTGGTAAACGAGCAGATGGATCATCTGATGGCAAACAATCGGCATCGCCCATAGACCTGGAATACCAGAGGCGTTACAAGTGCGTTACCGGTCTTTTGGGGATTAAGAATTTGACGATTGTTGAGGATTCAGGGATAAGGGAGATTGGGAAAGGGGAGGGTAATGGGGCCTCCGGTAACCTCACTCACATGGCGAAACAAAACTCATTGCGTTTATAATTAATTATACATCTCCATTCAGTGGAGTCTCTTTTCTACTTAACTTGAAAGGCTGTTCTGTAAGATGTCAATTCGAAAAATCGAAGCCATTGGTTGTGAGAATTATCCCGACCAATGACAGACGAGATTGCGATCGAAGTCACTGCAAGATACAAACGCTCAAAAACGAAAAGCCTCCTTCCGAAGCAGTTGAAAAAAGCAATATATACCTATAATATTTTCCGAGTGTCTATTGTCTTTTTTACACTTTTTTCGCACGAACGACAACTATCCGAAAAATCCAGGTGTGATGCAAGTAAAATCCAGATTTCAAAATCCGGATAATACGAATATCTGGATAGGAAGCCCTACCTCGAGAGTTCAAATTGTTCTCTTACAGAATTACCCAGCTGAGATGTGAATAACTAACCATAACTTCTTCTTGTCATCTTTTACAGAGGCTTGCTTCTCATGATATCCAAGAAGAGGGCTCAAAAAGAAGGTCTAATAACAACGGTGTATAGATTAATAAAAGTCGTCAAAGAAAAATTGTATACACACATCCTAGCCGATGTTAACCCAACAAAAATGAAGCTAGATATAAAGACTTTGATCCAGAAACTTCTAGAATTATACGGCGACAGTATAGTTTTTGGTCTAGAAGAATTTCGTCTCGGCTATCCTTTAAAAACAAAATTAACAGTGAAAATGTTAAAATTGAAAAAGAAAAGATTCACTAAATCTATTTCACATGGGTAAGGTACGAGGGTTTGGCTTTCAAAGTTATTGGAGACGTGGTCATGATAAAATCGTATGAAAATGTAACTATAATATCATTTTTAAACTAGAAATGTTAAAGTGGTTTATCCATGACAAGGATTCAGTTTTGGTAAAGATTGACAGAATGAAATTTAATATATCGATTAATTGTTACTAATTACGATTGAAATTAAAGTATGATGCTTATTTTGTTCAAATAAATTGATAAAATTATCATAATTATTTATCTAATAGATTATATTATTGGCTAGTAAGCATTTTGTAAAATGGGTGATCAATTTGTTTAAATATTAATATCACCGTACTTTGCTCTGTAAAACAGTCAGATATATATTGAATTAAAGATTATGTAAGTAGCGAAAAACAATTACAATACCTAGCAACAATGGGAACTTATTTAGTAATAAAACGATGTAAATTACATTTGCTCAACGTTCCTAACTGTTTTTCCAACACTTGAAATCAGGTATTGATCGAAACACTTATGATATAACAGAAATACTTTCAAATAGTAACAGATTTTATGTAAATTGTACGCTTAATTAGTAGGTAATTTCGTATGTAAATTAGTCATGGAGAGTTAGTGTCCTTTGCAAAATTACTTACATTATATTTACATTACATTATAAACATCATCACGTGTTTTATTACTATGTTTAAGCTTACTATGCTTACAATTCCTATGTTTAAGGCCCCTGGTGTGACCCGAAACTAGTCAAACAAAATATTTATCATTAAATGTGTACAACGCTAACCTAATATTAAGAAGTCCTTTACTACGTTTTTGTCTATCTTATGGCAATAAATTTAAAAGATATTGAATGAAATTTTGTGTAACTTCTAGCAATGGAATTTTAGTATTATGTATAATTTTATGGGATTTTCTTGGGGGGGAAAAACATCGAATGACGTCTCCCAGGTGAGGCCAGAAGAAGTGTCAGACTCTTATTGACTTAAAAACCACCCCATTCGTCCTGCACTTCGAGCCGGTCTCAGCCGGAGCCCCGGCAACCTGTCCGCGGCTCCGTATCGGAATCAGCCCAATTGGGCCCTAACTGTGGTGGTCTAAGGCCGAAACGAGTACGCGTTCGGCACTCTAATTGGCCGGCGCCAATGAAGCAACCAATCACAGCGCCGAACGCGTACTCGTTACGATTACTTTAAACGTAAGACAAACTCGTACGAAGGCCTCTGATGGATCTTTGAAGCGCGCGCGGAAAGCGACGCGCCGTACGCTCAGGTCTGATTAATTTTATAGGATAGGCGGGCAAATGAGCACATTGATTGTTAACAATCAGTCCGTTACCAACCTCTGGTTGGCAGATTCTCCTTCCTACCCCTTTTGGGAGATGGGCGTGAGGTTATATGTGCATGTATATATTTTGGAGAGTGTTAATATTTATATTCAAGCATAGAGGGTATAGAAGTAGCTCCTCGATCCTCAAATAGGGTCTAAGGCCTCTTACTTTTCGCTGGAGGGGCACCAAGGAGTAATATAAGGAGTCGTTATGATTTTTTCCTACCCTACGACAACGCCTACACAACAAGCCGTACAATATCAAACAAAGACTACAATACTATATCTGATATCAAAGAGTATAATAATAAGTACAAATATCTTGTTTCTTCCCTTCCAAAGACAAACGTGATATTGTCAAATTTATTTTAATTAAATCAAACATCAACTATCTATTCAATGAATAAAATGATGATCTCAGTTGAAAAAAATAAATTATTAAAATTATAAAAAGAGTTATCGTTATGAGTGAATTTCGGTAGTAAACTATATATTTTTTTAATTATTTCATGATATATAACAGTTCAACTTAATAATTTAAACTGGATTTTTATAATATGTTTACTTCAAATTTCAGCGCAGTGAGTATATTTATCGCATAGTACATAATATGTATGTATCTTATACCAGAAAAGTCAGTAGACGTCGCGGCAGGCCCAAAAGGAGATGGCGGGACGAATTAGACATCTATGACAAGGATTGGCCGCAAAAAGCTTTACATAGAGAGGAATGGAAGGAGGGAAGGGAGGCTTTTGCTCTGCAGTGGGGCGATCATGGCTGAAAATAAAATACATAAATAAATAAATACCAGAAAAGTACAGATAGGTTTTTTAATGGGGGAAAAATCATCGAATGACTGCTCCCGCCTGGGTGAGGCGGGAGGGAGTGTCAGACTCTTACTGACTAAAAACCACCCCGTTCCTTCTCCTGCACGTCGAGCCGGAGCCCCGGTTACCCGTTAGGTTCTCCGCAACAAGTACAGATAGGTTAAGTGTGCCAGCCGCATGCTGGTTAGGTAGGCATAAACCTTAGGTAGAAGAGAACTATGGCTTATGAAGTCGCTGGCAACGTCGGCAGTGAAAACAAAGGCCGCGCAGGCAATGCACGTCTACTGCGCGTATCATCAATGCAAGTGCAATCGTCAGCGGCTACGGCTTCTTAATATGTGCGCTTTGTGTGCGTATAAAAATACGCTGTGTACTAAGAACCTAAGCTCCATTGACCGAAAGAAAATTCCCAGGTGTTAAAACCAGACATTGAATTATTTTGCAACTAGCGGACCCTACAGACGTTGTCCTGCATATCTACTTGAATTGAATGTATAAATAAAAATTCATTCAAATTGGTTCAGTCGTTTAGGATAACTAACCTAGCTAAACACTGACTGCAGCGCCATCTGCCGGGCTGATTTGTGAATCTACACCATTCCCAGATCCCCTTGAATACACACAAAGAATTTCATCAAATTCGGTCCAGTCGTTTGAGAGAAGTTCAGTGACATACACACAGAAGAATTATATATATAAAGATTCAACCTTTGACGTTTCAGAGTACAAAATCATCAGTTATCGACGAAAGATTTGAAGCAGAAGAATGGATGCCTACCCTTGCTTCAACACCCGTAGAGTGGGGATCTTTATACTATGTCTCATCATTATCATAGATTGCTACTTCCATCTATCAATGTACTACGAAATGATAACAAAACGCGGTAGGAGAAGAACTTATGACGTCCCAAAGCTAACTCCCCAAAATGGTTCAACTTCTCGTTATAGATATTCTTTAATGGATTCGCAGGACGCTTTTATGGGTGAGTATGCTACATATATAGTTACTGGTTTTTACCACCGGCCGTTTGGGGATTAAGAATTTGAGGATTGGCCTTCTTCCCCAAATACGCCAAAAATGATGGTCATTAAAATGATCACCTTGGGTATTAAATTTTCAGATTACCAAAAAGTCTTCAATTCTTCCTACTACTGGTTCATGTCAATGAAGCCGTTCTTTAAAAATATAGGTAAGCAACAAAACATGTAATCGATAAATCTTAATTAATCTAGTCTAGTTCAGTCATTTATTTAATAATGGCTTTGTTACTTCTACTTACCTAATGCACGCTATAAACTTACGATTTAACTGTACAGTTTTAGCTGTACAGTCGAAATGTACAGTTAAATCGTGGTCACAGGTTATACACCTTCAATACGTGTACCAATGGTTGAAAAACTAAGTTTAGTACGAAACTGTACCTGTTTTCTTCGATAGCATACGTTGCACATAGTATTAAAACTGTACATTTCAACTGTTTGCTTTACACACCTTACAATTTAATTGAGCAGTTATAACTGTACAGTTGAACTGTAAAACTGTACAGTTGTATTGTAACTTATTACTGACAATATAAAAAATAACAATGATTGATAGTGCGGTGTTATAATGTAATAAATTAAATTAAATAGATTAAATTAAATTAATTAAGAATTATATATATTTCATAATATTAAACTGTAAATGTATGGACCCAGTATGTCTGAAATAAATTTATTTTATTTTATTTTATTTTTATTATTACTCCAAGTCACTTACACTCACAAAGACCATACAAATAGCTTCTTGATCAGTATGTATTAAAACTATTTTCTTTCATAATTCGTCTTTCATTAATATATATATTTTTGCATGAAGCTGCAGAACTACCACCAGTGTATACGAACGACACGCCACGATGCAACTTAACTGGTTCATCAAGTAAGTAATATTGCACTTGTTTGTAGCTACTTAACCAACATTGTCTGACTAGTAGTAGAACCTCTTCGTTCGCAAACTGTACCTAAGCGTATCAATACGCGCATAGCAATAGGGTACAACCTAATAGTTTTTATTCAAAGAAATTCGCATACGCAGCGTTCGTAAACGCCTCTTTTTACGGTAACAATTCGCTTCCTAATTGCTTACGATTACGACCCGCTTAAGAAAAAGAAAGAAAAAAAAATTGATTTCACGCTATAAAACAAGTGACATGTATATAAAAGTCATTGTATTAGTAGGTACTGATGGGTACATGTTCATGTCTCATGTCTGCCGCGAAATGGGACCAGTTCAGCATGTGCTTACGATATGCCTGGTTTATGCGTCACACACAGACAGAGGCGCATTAAATCCAGAGAGCGTCTAGGCGTAAAAAATTTTTTTTTTTTTTTTGAGGTGGGAAAATCATCCAATGACTTCTCCCGCCTTCAGTTAGGCGGGAGGGAGTGTCAGACTCTTACTGACTAAAAACCACCCCGTTTCTACTCCTGCTCTTCGAGCCCCGGCTACCCGTTAGGTCTTCCGCGGCACACTTCCAATGCTAACAATACGTTTCCTATTCGCTTACGATTACGACCCGCTTACTATATGCCTTGTGACGTTTTATGGGTCACACAGAGGCGGCTTAAATGTAGAGGGCACCATAGGCAAGCACCTCGTCCCTAACTTTTTTTAACGACCTCGTTAGTCTGTGGACCGTTGGACACGCGCGTCTCGCGATGCATGTCTGCAACTTGACTTACAGATAATACCGGCTCTGGGCTCTAATTTTGTTTATGAGATAATTATTTTTTCACAGATAATATAGGATTAAAGTTATTCAACGCAACTGGACCCAAATTCCATCAGATTGAACAAAGCCCTGCCCTCGCTGCTGTCAAACTGGGGGGTTATTATGCGCCGGCGCACTGTCGCCCTGCACAACGAGTGGCTGTTGTAGTTATTGTGCCAACCTCGTGAGTATTACATAACTTTTATGAAATCATTTTATGCAACTTAGATAATAGCCGTATTATTGAAGCAGAAATCTTTTACAGAAGACATCCAAATTATTCTTATTCTGCCCAATTAAATCATCATCTTTGAAAATCGTACGTTTGTAATATTAAAAATAACCATTTTTTACTACATGCATATGAATATACATACGATGCACATACATAAATAACATTTTTTATAATGTTTTTGTGTCTGTCGGTTTGTATTGTATTGCAAGACTTTTATTGTCAGGTAGTTGATGTAGGTACTAAGGAGTAACATAGGCTACTCTTATATTTGAAGTTTGTAAAAAATAAAAATTTTCTTAAATTCATATTCTACCTACTTCAACGCGGTGAAGTCGCGGGCATCAGCTAGCAACTATATAATAGTTTTAGTGAATTACGTGAAGCCAGTACTAACACTTCCAACTTTGCAGATATTGTATCACCAGTCGTTTGGTTCTACTTCATAATCTCCACGCTCTGCTACAGAAACAACTTTTGGAGTACAGAATATTTCTTATTCCACGATTTGTTGGTAAGTAACATCTGAGTGCCAAGCACGAATAACTATCGCATTCGTATCGTAACAGTTTCGAACGAGTTAAGCGTTCTGATTGGTTGGTTCACTTGAGCCGGCCAATCAGAGCGCCGAACGCACTCGATAATATTTCGTTACGAATGCGATAGTTATTCGTGCTTGGCCCTCTGTACCTTTTGTAAAACTGAGTGTGCGGTGGAATTGCACAACTTGATTCCCCCTAGTCCTGTCCATCATCGTACCACAAGACAATGGGCGAAGTGTCACCTCATCATGGTGTATGTCCCACCCACACGCACTAAGCGCTTCGCTTCAAGCTTCCTTGTGCGTACTGCTAAGGAACGGAATTCTTTGCCAGAGTGTGTCTTTCCTGAAGGGTACACCTGAGTGTCTTCAAGGCCTGAGTGAATATAGGTCGCTTATGGGCAGACGTGCTCCATCGTAAGCCGCATCATCGCCTACTACCGGGCGAGATCGTGGCCAAACGTAGACCCATAAAATATAAAAAAAAAATTACTTGCCATTAAGCAGGCCATTCCACTCTGGTGTAAAACACTCTGGTGGTTTCGTTTTTTAAAAAAAATTGCCCCACACTAGGATTTTGTCCTGTATCGTGGGTGCGTTTACAAACATACAAGTTCACATACACATGACACCTAGACCCGGAACAACAATCTGTGGATCACACAAATTCCGTTCCGTGCGAGAAACGAACCCGCAACACGTTGCGCGGCAGTCATTTGGCCAACCAGCGCGCCGACTGTGCAGTCAGTATTACAGTCAATTATTTGTAGGAGACCCAAAAGGCACTCTATACAACATCGCGTTCCTGGAGAGTCAACGGTTCGGCTCCTGGGACTGTCTGATCTTCCACGACGTGGACCTGATCCCTGAGGACGAGACGATCTCCTATTCCTGTCCAGAGCATCCGAAACAAATACTTTCTTGGGGTAACAGGTAAAGAGACTGATTATTGTGGTTGAACAATAATCGCATAATCAGATTGAAGAATACATACATAACCTTACCTACGCCTGTCTCCCATGGGGGTAGGTAGGTATAGTAGGTAGGTTGTCAGATTCAAGAACTGTTGTTTTATAATAACTATCGTGAGACATGTTAAATTAACTAAAAATCGCGAGATACTCACGTGAATATACTGAGATGCGGTGAGTAGGCTGCGCGATGTTGCCGCGACCGCCCACGCTGCTCATGAGGAAGAACCCCTCTGTGGTTCGAAACTAGTAGAGCTTTGTTCAGTATATTCACGTGAGTAACCCGCGATTTTAGTTAAGAACTGTTGTTGTTAATTCAAATGGAACTAATCAAGTTCCAGTTTTGTTAAGTCTCGCATAGAGAGGGGTATCCTCCTGTTAATTAAGTGTACTGACAATATCTCAGTCCAGTGGACAGTGATTGAATCATTGGAAGCGAGAAACTGTAGATCGAGTTCTAAAATATGCTATTAGAAAGGTCTATGTCTATAACCCAGTAGTGGGCAGCGCTGACAATAAAGATGATGATGGATTATCATAACTGCAGGTCAAGCGGAATAGTGAGAGCACTGACACCAGATCAGTACCAAGCTGTGAACGGATACTCCAACATGTATGTGGACTCAGATTTAGCGGACTTCGATTTTTCTGGCAGGTGTGATTTTTTATATTCTTCTATATAAAAATCTTTCATTTCTTTCAGCGGGTGCTGTAAGGGTTATATTTCATAGGCACACCATGGCGGCGCAACCAATCGCCGCTACTGAATAAATATAGACAGCTCTATAGAGAATTAGTTACCTGGTGTCCGCGTGGTTGCGGAACCAGCGTATACATTTTGAACCGCGGAGGAGTTAACGGGTTAACGAATTAACTTGGTTGGCTCCAGGTCGAAGTCTGGAGTAGAAACGGTGTGGTTTTTAGTTAGTAAGAGTCTGACACTCCCTCCGGTCCCACCCGGGCAGGAGAAGCCATTGGATGATTTTCCCCTCTCAAAAAAAGCCTATACATTTTGTTGATAGTAGCGACTGGTTGCGCTTCCAAGGTGTTCCGGTGAAATAAAGCTGTAAAAGCTAACTAAAGGATTACATTTATCTACATGTATTTATCAGAGACCGGGCAGCAGCGCTCTGATAAACCTGATACTTTTAAAGTGCTATCTCCAATCTGCTCGCCAAGCGTGATTGTGGCAAATCCCTCTTTTGTAGAGGAGATCTTTAATAGATCTTACTACTCTTACAGGCTGTCGATCATAACCTACTAGCTTCATCCCGTAGCTTGGCCCGCATTCCCGTAGGATAAGAAACTAGCTTATGTACCCTGCACCTGTTCCAAATTTTATTCTGATACCTTAAGCCTCAATGTGATTGTAAACTCATAAAGTTTCACATTAAGAAGTAAGAATTAGTCAGAAGTTCTTTTACTTTCTACTACTTTCAGGCTTGAAGCGATGAACTACGATATAGTGAAACAAAACGATTCTGTTGCTCTATTCAGAATAATGGCAAATGTCACAAACCACCTTGATAATAGCCGGTAAGTTGTAAGTATGGGAGGGCCATGCTTCGGCACGAATGAGCCGGCTCGACCGGAGTGATACATCGGCCTCACAGAAAACTGATGTGAAAGAACGCTTTCGTTTTGTTACATCGTGTGAGTAAGGTTATCGGAGAAGGCCCATTTACCTCCCTCCCCAATCCCCGAATCCCAAAGTTCCTAATCGCAACGCACTGATAACGCCTCTGGTGTGGTGGTGAGGTTTCCATGGGCGGCGCCGATTGCTTACCATCAGGTAATCCGTCTACTCGGCTGCCCGTTTACCGGCTTATCGCTAAATAAAAAAGTTCAGTGATTTCACACTTATTTTTTTCTATTTATGTTAGTAGAACTGTTCGAAGAGAATACTCGACTAGTTTTAAGCCACACCGGGGCTCATAATCATAAACCATTATGTTCTTTCATTCTAGTGAATTCGCTATCATGTAACGTCTTTTACGTTTAATTTCGAAATCTGTTTTCAGGGCTTCACTTATCACAATGAACCGACTGCTTTTACCAAAGGAAGGTCTTTCCACCACGAAGTACAAGCTGATCAGGGTCGACCAGGACAAAATATTTACCTACATACTGGCGCTCAGCGTCAACGACATATTGCTGCAATACGATCCTATAAAAGTCAAATAAATAAATTCATAATCACCATTGACTCGAAATTCCCGGTCGTGTGACAAATGTCTATTTTTTAGAGAAATTGTACTTAGCTGTCGTGTCTTGTACATAATTGTGAATTTCGTATGTGTATTGTGTACGGTAAATAAATTAAAGTGTATTATTAAATTAATTTAATGTTACTAGCACTTGGATTCTTTGATGACTCAGTACGATCATGTTCATTATCTACATTCGTGTGGGGACACACAGACATGTTAGCATATTAGGAACTTAGCGTCAGTATGTAACCTAGCGTTTAAGGTATGAAATAAACACAGTTGGCATTAGACTCTCGAGCGTATCATTCAGATTATTGTATCCAATTATTTTTGATTTAAACAAAAACACACGTATTGCATTTTAAATAGGTACTACATTTCCATAATTTGACATGGGAAAACTCTCGAAACAGACATAATAAAAACGTATAATAAAATAATGTCTTTACGAGCACCGTGACGCGAACACTTTAACAACTTCATCGGCTAGACTCAGAGTTGTGAACTTTTTTACCTTGTGTATCAACGTGCATATATCGGGATCTGTTACTAGTCTGCAGACGTATATGTCGCCATTATCTGTGTCCTCCTCCAAACGCTTCAACGCTTCTGTGACTTGATCGACGTAAGGCGTCTTATGCGCTTCTGGCACCAACACAAAATGCCACGGCAAACACAGTCGTAGAACGTTCCAAATGACGGATTGACTAACAGCGTACATTACGTTAGGATCCTCCTCTGGCTCCAGTTTCACTTCTACTATGCTTTCAGGCTTAACTGATGTTTTTTCCTCAGCCTCGGCCTCATCTTCACAAGGTCGACATACAAACGTATTCTTGACAGCACCCGCAGATCCCGATTCTTTAGTCTTCGACACCAAGCTCTTCTGAGATCTCACACGAGGATTAAGCGCGGGCTCAGCTACTTTTTTCGCGGCTTGCGCCTTACCAACTTTCCCTTTCTTACCCTTCTTTTCCTCGACTGGAGCAACATATTCCATTTCAATAATACTAGTTCCTTCACAATATATTATAACTTTATCTAAAAGTTGATCTATGAACTCCTGCGTACATTTGTTTGCACAAGCCAAGCATTCATCTCTGTACTTTTTCTGTTTAATCAATTTGCACACCACTTCGCCACACTGTTCTAGGTCATAACAAGTCTTCTTGCCAACGGCCATAGACAACGCTGTAGCGAAGCCTACTATAGGATTAATATCTTTGCTAAAAGCTAGCAGAAACGCAGAATAATTCATTTTATTTTCCATTGTTTCAAATAATTCAAACAAAAAATGTTTTATTAAATTCAGTCTCAGCTGTGCATGCTTGTCGTCGGGCTCAAAATCCTTTTCAAACCAAAGCTCCTCCGAAATAAAATCATCTCGATCTATCAATTCCGTACACGATAGATCATAACATCGAAATCTTGTACGAATCTGTAATAATTCATCTACATTTGGAAATCTTATATTTAATGAGTAAATGAGGAAGTCGCGCCAATCAACGTATACCGTGTCCCCGAACAACAAATAGACAAATTTAGGTACTTGCTCGGGATCGACACGCAGCCAAGCTTCTGGAAATAGAGGACCATCGCAAGATTCTTTGCCAAAAAAAATAAAATCTTGAAGAAGATAAATGAAAGCTTGCTGCATTATAATTCCAGTCGGCGCAATTATTTTAAACTGTGTCCGGAGAACAGCAAGCTGACTGATTTTGAAATCCATACTCCCGACTATCTCTCGATCTATTGACGTATCAGCTGGCGGCTCTGGGGGAGCAAACTGCAAAAGATTTGGATCGATCATGAATGTATCATTTTCGAGGACCAGCGTCTCTTGTATTGGTCTACCATTTTCAACAGCCATTTGCAAATATTTACAAAGTCTATCAACAGATTTAATCTCATTTATATAGTAATCATTAATATCATTTTGAACATCGGTAAAGGTTTTATAAATATGGTCGTTAAACAATTTCATATCGCGATAACATTTGTATTGAAGAGCTTGCATACGAAGACTGGCTCTATACATTTCTCCATTGATGCCCATTGTCCATTCTTCTATACACTTCAGCGCTTGCTCTTTGAAGATTTCCTCAGCATTTATTGATTCTTCGGACGTATTTTCTTCTTTCTTCTTTGTAGGGGGCTGCACTTTTGCTACTTCACTATATTCTTTGGCAATCACAGACCGATAAGAATCATTAGTTTCTTTTATAACTTTTAAAGCGAATTTCACATTATTTTCTACAATTAAATTAAAAGGGTTATTATTAAAATCGATTTCCATATTTTTATGCTGCAGTTCTTGGAATCCCAATTTCAATTGTCTAAAAACTTTGTCTTCTGCTCCTCTCCTACTACCAGATATGTCATCCGAATCTCTATAAACTTTGATCAATTCTTTGAATAATATTTTGTCATTTGATGGCATATGCTTGATCATGGAAAAATAAAAGTCGTGGAGCGATTGAAACGTCAAAAAAGATCTGAAATAAAAAATAATATATATAAGTGTTTCTTTTTACATATTTAATGGATGTCTTCGACGATTCACTTATTACCTGTTTAATTCTGCTTGCATACAAGAAATATAGGTATTCACCAAAGTAGTCAGTTCTTCCATAGTCCAGTTGTCGCTTATTAAAGCGATCCTTTGTTGTTCAGCTCGCAATTTTCTAGCATCACAAATTTTATACAATTTGTTTTGTAACTCTTTAACTCTGCAGTGCCATTCGTTTTTAGTTGCATTTATATCACGCCAGTCACTTTCAAAATCATTGTATTCCCTTTGAAAATTACTTACAAGATCTTGCTTATTCGAAGGTAAAGTGATGATTTGTTCCATTTTGTCCTTAATGAATCTTGCGTAAGGAATCAAACAGTTCATTTGCAGCCGTTTTGCGAAGAACAATTGCTGCATATCATTAATGTAAACTTTTTCAATTTCTTGCCAACAAGTCGCCAATGCGACACCTATTAATGGAGGAATGGGTAGGTCTCCATAATCCCAATCTTCCTCTCCAGCTAATAACTTTATTTCATCAATACTCAAAGTCTTATAACTTTCTTCGCCGTCCGTTTCTTCGTGTATTAGTTCATCCACAACTTCTTCTGTCGAGGGTTCCTTCACTACTTCAAGTGGCATCATAGAACTTTTACTTGGTTTTGAACTATGCATTTTTTCTTTGGATTTCCCATTCATAGCTTCGGGTTTGATAATTCTAGATCTTTGTTTTTTATCATCACTTAATGGAAACTCAAGACAACTTAAAACATGTTCTCCAAATAGAGTATCAGCAGATTTTAAAGGCATTGCCAAGTCACCAATAATGTATTTACAAATTTGAGCCAATATTTCTCTATCTATTCCCTCGTAATACATACTATAATTAAGACCTAGTATTGCGTAAAACCGATCAATTAACTCAGAGTTAGTTTCCGTTAAATCCCAAATTACAAGTTCTTGTAGAATATCTGCACTTTCTTTTAGATGGATATAACACGTGAAATAGCTTTCAAACGGCTTATCACAAATTTTTTTATGAGGATCGCTTACAAGTCTGGAAATCCTTACGTCCTTATGGGAATCTTTCTCTTTTTTTCGATGCTTTGCAATGCACTCTTCCAGATAAATATCATCTCTATCCTCTAGTTCGCCCTCGTTTGGTGGTGTGCGACCAGAAAATGTTTCTTCGAGAATTTGTGCTTCCCTATAGGAGTTAGGGTAGTTTATTATTACAAAACCTGAAATGTCTTCTTGATCTTTAAGGTATTCAACAATCGTTGCTGCTAGTAGATGATCTGTCAGAGTATCACCAATACCCAAAGATTCATAAGCATATCTACCCAATTCTGCAGCATCAGACAATTTAATGTCTTCTTCTGGGATTGTTTTTGGAGTTTGTGTTTGTTTAGAATTAGCGGTAACAACACCTAATATAGCAGCAAGCGCCGACTCGTTACTTTTATTGAATGTATCATCTTCCAACTTCATTAACTTTATAAGTTCTTTATCCTCTTCCTCTGGAGCAGCCGCTATAAACTTATCGAATGACAAATCAATGTCGGTACAACCTATCATTTCAGTTTTAAATTTTCTAAGGCAAAAATTTATTGCATTTTCAAGTCTAACTACGTGTATTTTTCTTATATTAAGCAGAACTTGCATTGGCACAGTTAACGATCTTTCCGGTAGGCCCCGTATTAACGCTTTAGCTGTATACGGTGGTAAGTCAGCTGGTGGCAACGGTGGGGGGTGCGGATATTTTATTCCAAGCAAAGTGTAAACCATATGACCCAATACGCGATTTCCTAAGTATTCATATTTCCTTTCTTCAGACTCTGGATCATAATTAGGAATCAATAAGTCTAAAGTCCAAGGATATGAGTAATCATGGTAAACTTTGAATTCATTATCATTAAGCGCGTCTTGTCTTTCTAGTTCGAGTCTAACTATTTCCTCTTCTACCGGAGTCGTTTCTTCTTCAACTTTTTCTTTCAAAATATCTTCAGGAGGTTCTAAAATATCGAATATTGGCTGTTGTTTGTAATATAAAACCTTCCATTCATTTAAGTAATGTTCTGGAATATCGTCACCTATAAGTCTTTTAAAGTACGCGTATTTCGTTGCATAGTCTACAATCGATAATATCGTATCGTAGCAAATATCATAATAGTGTAATCGTTTTCGTCTCATTTTTTCCGCATACAACCTTTTATGGAGTACATTTTGTCTCTCTTTTTCAAAGTCAATTTCTGTCATTTCTAATTGAATTTGCTCTTTCACGTTATCTAGATACTGATTAAATTGAAGTTCTCTTTGTTCTGCAAATTCTTTTTCAGCTTGAATTCTATTCTTTACTAAATTTCGCGCTTGCTGTTTTGTCTCCATAATCTGCGTACACATTTGTTTCTCAAATTGCGACAATTTCATTACTTTCTTTGCCAGTTGAGTATCCAACTTATTTTCTTCTTCAGCAATAGATAGATCCCACATAGTTCCACTTAGAACGTTTCGAATTTGTTTCTGAAATTCCTCAGAATCCGATTTCTTACGCAATCTACTATAAAGATTATTCATATAAGCTTTAGTCCATTCGGAATCAGAAAAAGAGGTTCTTTGATCTTTAGCTTGCAATTCCATTGAAACTAACTGATCATACGTATAATTTTCGAATTTACAAGGGTACTTTAAAGCGAATTGTTCCATTTCCTGGCGCTCTTTGCTCGATAATTTTGGTGGCATTGTAGGTTTTTGATAGCGCATTGGAGTGTTTGCTTCAGTTATATTTGTTAACATTTTCGAATATTTATGCCGAATATATTCATAGGTATCTTTTACTTGCTCTGTTTTTTTTCTTTGCCATTCAATAAAATGTTGTTCATTCAATAATGGCTTTGCAAGATCATCGACTATGGATTCTTCTCCTTCTGGTATATTGTCTACTTTAAATCTATGACCAATTTTCTCTATTAAACTGGACACCATTTTCCTTTCACGTTTGATAAAGTTTGTTCTGTCCCTTTTGTCCAAATGTAGAAACATTTTATAAAATAATCGAATTATTGAAGAACCCTTGCCATCCATTATGTTTTCTAGATCACTGGCACTTACGTAAACATTAATATCAGCTAACCATTCTGATAAATATTTCCAGTTGCTTTTAATATCTTCTTGTGCTAAACTAGCTCTTATTAAAAAATGTTTCTCGTCGTTAATAACATTGTAACTGTTCAGTACATCAGCAATTACATAACCATTTTTCATCATATCTCCAAATTCTTCCGCTTCCCATGATATAGGACGGTTTAGCCTCTCAGTTAACCACTCTTTCAATATTTCAGCCATACTTAGTATATTTTTTTCATTTCATTTACATCAAAACATAGGAATCTGATGGTAATTAAATTTTACGTTTGATATAGGAAGTTTGACAGATAACAAAAATAAAGAGAATTCACAAAACATAAAATACAAAATGACATTGACGAAGGACTTTTTTCACAAATTAAAAAACAAAAAGAACTAACAGGGTTTACTTTGTACCTGACCTGGGTCTCTTCAAGGCCCGAGTGAATAGGTTGATTATAAGACGACGAGCTCCATCGTAGACCGCTTCAATCGATCGCTTACCACCAGGCAAGATAGTGGTCAAACGTCGTCGGCCCATCCAATAATAATAAAAAAACCTACAATTTAACACCAACAAAGTAAACCCTGTTTGATCTTTTTATTTTATTACCTACCTTTAGTACCTACAAAAATGCTAATATTATCATGCCTGCATGTCTGCCTGTTTTGAAAATTGTTCTCATCGCGTTCTTATTATTATCTTATTGGAACATTTTATTACCAAGATTAAAAACTGGCAACCCAGACTTGTGTTTGTCATACCTTATTATGACTTTTTTGTGATGTTTATTTTCACTGTTTTCTATGTATATTTCTTGAATTCTGCTTAGATCTAATCCAGGATGAAATGTAATGAATTCGAAAAAAGTGTATGTATCAACAATAAACTTGTAGAATAGATGAAAGGACAGTGCGCATTACTGATATTATTGCGTTGTTCACAGAAATCTCGCCACATGAACCTGGAGAATTTGGATAAAGCATTGCACGATCTCGGAATGTTGAGTGCAATAACTGAAGCACGGCGCGACTATTTGCGGGAGTCTAAGACAAATTACAGCGTGATGCGTTTCAACACGCGATACGTGTCTAACGTGACCGTGGGATACTGTATGAAACGAGCGACGAACAAAAACAGACTCTGCCCTTACGTATTACCAATTAGACATAGAACTAAGAGTGAAAACTCGGATGCGATCAGTAGTGACGTGAGCGATAGCGGGTGCGAGTACAAAAACAGTTTGCTAGAGCCTTCGACGAGCGGATACAAGCACGAGTGCGTGAAGAGTCCTGCGAAGCGCTGCCAGTCGCTGGAGAACCTGAACCTGGCGGCAGAGGGCCCGCCACGCGCCGAACCCTCACCCGACATGGACTGCGTCTCCACGCGCATCCAGAAGCTGCAAGTCGATGAATGACACCACTCACAAGCCACCTCAAAATCTAGTGTGATGACCTTCGAATCGTATTTACTCTAAGTTAGAGTGGCGAAGGTTAGAAAATAGTAGTAGTATTCAAGTGATCTAATGAATGTTGAAAATAATGTATTTTTCAGTGTATTTATACTGATGCATGGATTATTAAGTGTAGAAGCTGATTCTGAATGTTCCTAGCTCCTCGGTGTACTTGAGTTGATTTTGCATGTATTGTATTATCCACCCCAACGATAATTGATAGTGCAGCTACTTTGATTAATGTTTAAGCGAATTGCTCAAAAATTTTTGGAATCGGTACAAAATATTAAATACATTGTAATTTAATTAGACAATTGTTTTGATAAAGTTAATGTATTTGTTAACTGTGAGATTTATAATGATTTATATGGTTACCCTAAACTTAGCGGTCCAGTGTTGAGAACAAATTCATTTTGTTTTGGTCTAAGTCACATTTATGCACACTTTTAAACAAATCTTTTATAATTCTACACATACTTATGTCATAAAAGCCATGCTTCATATTTGGTATGAGTATTTTAATGTGATTCTGCTGGCATAATTAAAATATTTTCGTGTAATGTAATTTCATTAAACATAACAAAAATTGAGTGAAAATAAGACTGTATGAAGATCTCATCCCATCCACAAAAATTCAATTGTCATAACAATCCATACTATTTATTTATCATCCACGCTTCTGTGACTTAGAAATAGATACTTATGTTTGTTAACATATTTTGTTATTTTGTTCTTATTAATTTAATAACAAATATTTGAAATAAATATTGCTTTGATTAATAATTATTATAGGTGTTTTATTGAGACTTGGAAAAATATGTTGATATTTTTATTGTTATCCCCAGTATAATTTTATAAAAAATGAAGGAAGAACAATGACATATTTTCTACCTACCCTAGACATTAAAAAAAATTAATGTCACTGCCATTGTTTACCAGTATATTTTCGAACTGGCAAAATATGAACGAACTAGATTCCTTTCCAGGAATTCAACCTAATCTTGGATAGTAAATAAATATCCAGATTACATAAATATAGTTGTTTTGTGAGAGAATCGAATCCTCACTTGGCAATCACTAGAAAAATGCAGTAAAAATTCGTCGAATTTTTGTAGGGTAGGTATTCGTTGTCTGGACGAATTGAAATAAAAAATAAGTGGCAATTTACGTGGATAGGATAATTCCTGTAGTGATGAAAAAATTGTCACCAGTAACAAAATTTAAGGGGTCATAGACGTCTTTTTTTTGAGGGGGGAAAATCGTCGAATAACTGCTCCCGCCTGGGTTAGGCGGGAGGGAGTGTCTGGGCTCGCCATTATGTTTTCACTGCAGAACAAAAACATGGGTGTATCATTTGACTAGGTGCAAATGGACCGGGTGCCGAAACGCCAAGATTTCAGGAGTGCGTATTCGTTATTTACTTACGCGCTATTTCACCCGCTATTTGGTTCCTATTCGTCGTAGTGCGATGTAATGTAGGCCTATAGGCTTCCTTCATAAATATAGTATTCCACACAATAGTAGTATTTGGTGTTGTACTTAATACCGAGATTAGCATACTCAAACGAAACAAACTTATAAAGAATTATTATATGCTCTTTGTAAATAGTAATTATTAGTTTTCTTTTATTTCATTCTCTCCACTAGTTCAGCGCTCCCCAGCCTTTTCTGCCCACGGACCCTTTGGAAATCAAGACCAGTTTTCACGGACCCCCTTAATAAAATAGCAAAAAATAAAACGGAGTACCTATTTATTTTAGTGATTACAGATAAAAAAAAAACAAATACAGAAGGTAATTGTAACTGTTTATTGAAAAATATGAAAAAAACACCTTCATTGTAATTACTCATGTTTTACTAAATAAATATATCTTTATCTTTATCTTTAGAAGAAACAAATTATTGTGAAGGTTGGTGTTGCTTTTTTTGCAACAAAATCAGGGATATTCGGGTTGATGTCGCTACTGCTTAGTAGTAGTCTGTAATCTCAAATCAGATTTTATTTTGTTAGCTGTTTTTGCATTTAATGAGCGATTTATGTGTGGTCCAGAGATGACACGCGGACCCCCAGAGGTCCGCGAACCACATGTTGGGAAACAATGCACTTTTAAGTAATAGTATTTATTTAATTTAAGTTAATATTATTTGTAAATATAATATACTTTTGTATTCAATGACAAAATTTAAACCTATAAATGTGCAGAATGAGCATAAGTAACATAGCAATAAGAAATAAATCTAGCAAGTACCTATCATTTTATACATAATGTAATTGAGACAGACCTCTAGTCCAGCCCTAAGCTTATCTTTTTCATAGTAATTATAATTTTAGAACTAGTGATTTCAGTTCCTATGACTCAGGTTGTACAAGTAAATGAAATAAAAACGATTGAATGTGTTAAACAATGACTATATTTCTAGAAATAAATAATGTGATATAGGTATTTACAGTGTATATAATACGGCCCGGCCACATTCCATTTCGGCTTTTAAGCACAAAATCTTTGCATTTATATCTTGACTAAGGAATATAGGTGAACAAGCCGTATCAGGAAAGACTAGAACAAATAATACAGGTTTGTAGTGATGACGGGTTGGGCAGAACCACGTCTCCGGTAGTGCGAGCCCGGTAGCGGCCCAGGTAGCTCGCCACCCGGTAGCTCGCCCCCGGTGGCAGTCGGCCCCCGGCAGCTCGCCGCGACCTCCCGCACCCGCTCTACGGTACCGTGCGCTGGCGAACGACGTTATTGCACAACTTCAATAAAAAACATAGATTATAACGTAAAATTCATTTATTCGCAGCCATTGAGTATGTAACACTTAATAAATAACAAAGACTGTATATATTGCATGACTGATTGCTGTGGCGCCTGTGATCCAACTGTCTACTATCAATGATCACAGAGCCTTTACTTTTAATTGTTTCATTTTCGGCGTTTTCCGCTTCTGTTGGCGTTTCTGCTCTTTTAGCTCCCAGCGACGCTGCTTCTCTGGGTCGTCCTCCTGTAAGGGGCAAACAGGTAAAGTAGTCAATAAATGCAGTAACTCATAATAATAGCACTGCCTTGTTGGCAGAGTGGTCGCTATTGCGACTGCCGGGTAAGGAGTCTCGGGTTCGATTCCCGGGTCGGGCAAAGTATTACTGGATTTAAAAAAAAATCTCAGTAGTAGCACGGAGTCTGGAACTGTGCCCGATATATGGCAATAGGCTCACCCCCTAATACATGGGACTCATAACATAAATAGTGAAAAGTGGGTGTTACATTGTACAGTGGTATAATGTGCACCTCTGCCTATCCCTTCGAGGCTAAAAGGCGTGATGTTATGTTATGTTATTTCCGATCGTTAGTCTCGCTAAAATTAGAGATCAAATGAACCGATTTAGTTAATTTTAGTCTTGTAATGTACATTGAAGTCCAGGGAAGGTTTAAAAGGTGACAAAATAAATGTTTAGGCGGTAATAGTATACGTACAGCGAGGATGCGTTCCTTCTCCAGCTTACGTTTCTCCTCCCGGCGCGCGGCGGCCTGCTCCTGGCGGGCGGCGTGCGCGCCCCGCAGCCAGGCCTCCGCCACCTTCTGACGACGCTTCTCACACTTCGCCAGCGCCTGGGGGGAAACCATACATCGTGACAATAAGATAAACTATACCTGTCTTAAATAAAACAAAGTTTGAGTCGATGTGATGTATATTGTGTTATAGTTAAATTAATGGCATCGTGTGAGGCAACGAAATTTTCTTCTGCATTTTAGAAGAGGGTTAAAACTATAATTTATGATGTCATCTCAACGAAATAAAAGAAAAGCTGTTTAATATGATGATATGACCCAAAAAGAAACAACAGTCCATACGTTTTGGCGCACATTATATGGAAGCGATACAAAGCCTTCCGTTTTACTAAGTAATTAATAAAATAGCGTCGATAAAAAACTACCCTTTTCACAGTTAAGTTGTCAATTAAGGTTTTTATAGTTTCTCAGAATCGCTATTTCAGTTAGTAATAATATTTTAATTGAAAAAAAGAACCATCATTATGGAAACAACAAATTATATAAGAACAGACCTCTTTGCTAAGCCGGAGCCTCTTGATCTTGTCCATGAGGTGGAAGACGAGCTGCAGTAGCGGCCGGACCTCGTCTCCGCCGCCGTCGGGTCCCAGAGCAAAGCTGATCAGCATCACCTTCTCAGTGTCTGGGGGCTTCGTTACTGCTGCTTCCCTGTTAAGTAAATAGCGTTAATATTATTCGTTTCACACGACATTTTAAAACAAAAATAAATGTTGAAGTGATTATTTTTAAGAGCGCTTTTTGCTGTTTCATTTCATTTCACAGGAATTGCAAACTTTTCTTAAGGCTTTGGCTGCCAACAAATAATTGTTGAAGGCAAACCCTCCGCTAATGTCGGTCACCGGTGACTGCCATGGCGTTTAACGTGTTAATCAAAAATGAATTATTACGAAAGTTCCATACAATAAAATATTTAAAGTAATCATAAAATAACATCACGCCTTTTATCCCCGAAGGGGTAGGCAGAGGTGTACATTATGCCACTGTACCTACAATGTAACACCCACTTTTCACTATTTATGTTATGAGTCCCATGTAATAGGGGGTGAGCCTATTGCCATATACCGGGCACAATTCCAGACTCCGTGCTACTACTGAGAATTTTTAAAAACTCAGTAGTACTTTGCCCGACCCGGGAATCGAACCCGAGACCCCTTACCCG